CCCACCCACCCACCCACCCACCCACCCACCCACCCACCCACCCACCCACCCACCCACCCACCCACCCACCCACCCACCCACCCACCTGACAACACACACCCACCCACCCACCCACCCACCCACCCACCCACCCACCCACCCACCCACCCACCCACCCACCCACCCACCCACCCACCCACCCACCCACCCACCCACCCACCCACCCACCCACCCACCCACCCACCCACCCACCCACCCACCCACCCACCCACCCACCCACCCACCCACCCACCCACCCACCCACCCACCCACCCACCCACCCACCCACCCACCCACCCACCCACCCACATGTGCACACAGAACACACACAGAACAACAACCCACCGAGTCCGCTGCGGTAGATCCGTTCCTTCAAGGCAGCAGCAGCCGTGGCAGCCTCGGCCACACTCGGGTCATTCACACTCTCCTCCCACGGCGGCAGAAGAGACAACAGATGCTGTGCCGCCGCCGCCCGGCCCTGCGCTGCCAGTACAGTTGCGTACTCCGAGACGAGGGATGCTGCCCACCTGCCGCCCACTCTGCTTTGTCCTGTAGCCAAGCCCAGCACCACTGCCTTCTCGATAAGATCCTGCGTTTGACAAAAAGGGGAATAGAGGAGGGAGAACGGCGGGGGGAAAGGAAAGGAGGTGGAAACGGCGGCACATAGAGTGTTTGAGATCAACTCCCTCCCTGTGCTACAATGAGCCAGTTTGATTGACTAATCGATTCCAATCAGCGGCTTCGCTCGCCACTTGTGCTCAGTCCTCATCTGAAGGTGTGGCAGAGACGGCGCGACTGACATGGGTGCCTTTTTTGAGGCGCCCCAAGAATTCACTTGTGCTTAATCCTAATCCTTATCTGAAGGTGTGGCAGAGATGGCGCGATTGACATCGGTGCCGGACCAGATCCATGTATGCTCACTAGACTGAACTCACTTGCAGGTGCGGCAGCGGCGGGGACCCCTGTGAGGGCTGCAGGCGCGAGGCCCAGATGTCGACCACGCGGTCGATGGAGCCCGCACACATGAAGCACAGCGTCGCCGCCTGCCACTGCCCCGCTGCCTCGAGCCGCGCTGCCAGCTCATCACACAGCACCGACCACTCGTGGCTCGGCGCGTACTGTGGGGAGAAGTGGGGGGGGGGGGGAGAGGAGAATTTGAGACGCCTTGGAAAAAAAGCACAGCGTCACCGCCTGCCACTGCCCCGCTGCTTCCAGCCGCGCTGCCAGCTCGTCACACAGGACGGACCACTCGTGGCTCGGCGCGTACTGTGGGGGTGAGGGGGAAGAATGGCGCGGAGAGAGGGCGGGAGAAGGAGGGAGGTGAAACAAATAAAGGGGACGCGAGGAGAGTTGGTGAACGGGACGGGGGATAACTGGATGGTCATCGGCTGCAAGCCGAGTAGTGGCTGAATGAAGAGACGAGAGGGCACGATGAAGATGAAGAATCAGTGTGCAAGCAGAGAATGAGGGGCTTACAGTGCAGAGCATGGCTTACAGTGCAGAGCAGGGCTTACAGTGCAGAGCAGGGCTTACAGTGCAGAGTATGGCTTACAGTGCAGAGCATGGCTTACAGTGCAGAGCAGGGCTTACAGTGCAGAGCAGGGCTTACAGTGCAGAGCAGGGCTTACAGTGCAGAGCAGGGCTTACAGTGCAGAGCAGGGCTTACAGTGCAGAGCATGGCTTACAGTGCAGAGCATGTCTTACAGTGCAGAGCAGGGCTTACAGTGCAGAGCAGGGCTTACAGTGCAGAGCATGGCTTACAGTGAAGAGCAGGGCTTACAGTGCAGAGCAGGGCTTACAGTGCAGAGCAGGGCTTACAGTGCAGAGCAGGGCTTACAGTGCAGAGCATGGCTTACAGTGCAGAGCAGGGCTTACAGTGCAGAGCAGGGCTTACAGTGCAGAGCAGGGCTTACAGTGCAGAGCAGGGCTTACAGTGCAGAGCAGGGCTTACAGTGCAGAGCAGGGCTTACAGTGCAGAGCAGGGCTTACAGTGCAGAGCAGGGCTTACAGTGCAGAGCATGGCTTACAGTGCAGAGCATGGCTTACAGTGCAGAGCAGGGCTTACAGTGCAGAGCAGGGCTTACAGTGCAGAGCAGGGCTTACAGTGCAGAGCAGGGCTTACAGTGCAGAGCAGGGCTTACAGTGCAGAGCATGGCTTACAGTGCAGAGCATGTCTTACAGTGCAGAGCAGGGCTTACAGTGCAGAGCAGGGCTTACAGTGCAGAGCATGGCTTACAGTGCAGAGCAGGGCTTACAGTGCAGAGCAGGGCTTACAGTGCAGAGCAGGGCTTACAGTGCAGAGCAGGGCTTACAGTGCAGAGCAGGGCTTACAGTGCAGAGCAGGGCTTACAGTGCAGAGCAGGGCTTACAGTGCAGAGCAGGGCTTACAGTGCAGAGCATGGCTTACAGTGCAGAGCAGGGCTTACAGTGCAGAGCAGGGCTTACAGTGCAGAGCAGGGCTTACAGTGCAGAGCAGGGATTACAGTGCAGAGCAGGGCTTACAGTGCAGAGCAGGGCTTACAGTGCAGAGCAGGGCTTACAGTGCAGAGCAGGGCTTACAGTGCAGAGCATGGCTTACAGTGCAGAGCATGGCTTACAGTGCAGAGCAGGGCTTACAGTGCAGAGCAGGGCTTACAGTGCAGAGCATGGCTTACAGTGCAGAGCAGGGCTTACAGTGCAGAGCAGGGCTTACAGTGCAGAGCATGGCTTACAGTGCAGAGCATGGCTTACAGTGCAGAGCAGGGCTTACAGTGCAGAGCAGGGCTTACAGTGCAGAGCATGGCTTACAGTGCAGAGCAGGGCTTACAGTGCAGAGCAGGGCTTACAGTGCAGAGCATGGCTTACAGTGCAGAGCATGGCTTACAGTGCAGAGCATGGCTTACAGTGCAGAGCATGGCAAGGGTTTCCCGCCAGTCAGAGAGTGGCTGTGATGCCACGAGCCCTCTGATGTCACTTGCCACCACCGCTCCCAGCAGCTGTGCACCGAGTAAGACAGGAAGGGATGGGGAGAGGGGGGGTGGGTGGGGGCGGTGGGGAGAAACAGGGAGCGAGGGTTAAAGTATGGGAAGGAGGGATTAGGGTTGTGATGCCACAAGCCTTCTGATGTCACTCCCCACCACCGCTCCCAGCAGCTGTATGTCCAGATGGCGGGGGAGGGAGGGAGGGGGGGGAGGAGGAGAGGGAACGGGGGTTAAAGAATGAAAAGGAGGGTTTACGGAGGCTGTGATGCCACGAGCCCTCTGATGTCACTCGCCACCACCGCTCCCAGCAGCTGCGGAGGAGAGCAACAGATGCGTGGAAGGGAGGAAAGAAAGGGAAGAAGAGAAGAAAGGGAAAAAGGGAAGAAGAGAAGAAAGGGAAGAAGGGAAGAAAGGAAAGAGCAAAGAGTGCGAGGGTGCGAGGGGGGGAAGGCACGCACGAAGCAACTGTCTGTTGCCCTGGCTCATTGCGTCTACCAGAACTGCAACCACAAGGCAGGCTGGAGCGAGTGAAGCTAGGGTGACAAATCAAGCAAGGGGTTGTTGAGCATGACTAGGGTTGAAGGCATCACAGCCAACTTCGCCTCGCTCACTCAAAAGCCACACGGTGAGGGCCCACCCACCCACCTTGAGGAAGGAGCGGCGGCGGTGGTGGCGCAGGTGCCAGCGCTGCTCTGAGTCCACCCAAAACAACAGTCAAAGTCACGAGGCACCCCCCCCCCCCACGCACACGGCAGCCCACCCACCCACCTTGAGGAAGGAGCGGCGGCGGTGGCGGCGAAGGTACCAGCGCTGCGTGCGCGCCCAGAGGTCGGAATTGAACCCCGCCACCGCCGCCAGCACCAGCGCATCCGCCACCCTGCCCGCCGCTAGACACCTCTCCACCGCCGCCTCATAGTTCCCCACCACCAACGCCCTCTGGACTTCCCCCTCCCACTCCCCTCCTCCCTCCTCCTCCCCCTCCTCCTCCTCCTCCTCCTCCTCGTCCGCCTCCCCGTCCCCTGCTCCCTCCCCGGTGACATCCCCGTTTTCCCCGTGCGCTTCCCCTGCTGCTGCCCCTGCTGCGGCTGTAGCGGCGGCTGTGGCGCGGGGAGTGGAGCTGCCGGCAAGATTGTCAAAGAAGTCAACATCGCCTGTAGCAGACGGGATCCCATCCAGCCCTGTTCCCCCCACAACCCCTGCCCCATCCCCACCAGCACCACCAGCGGTCCCGTCAAGAGACAACCCTCCCACGCCTGCTGCCGCTGCCTCTGCTCTGGCCTCTCCTCCCGCCGCTCCCTCTGCTGCTGCTGCTGCTGCTGCTGCTGCTGCTGCTTCGGCTTCAGCAGCGGCGGGGTCTTCGGCAGGAGGGAGGGTGGGGTTGGGGATGTGGATGGGCGGGAAGTCGAGGTGCGCCAGCAGCTTGCGACGGGCGTCGTCCTCAAAGAGCACTGTGAGGAAGTCCCACGTCTCCCTGTCCTCTGGTGCGCTGGAAAGAGGGAGAGGGAGAGAGTGGGAAGCGGGAGAGAGCAGCAGGAGTCAGTGTTAAGATTTCTGAGGTGTGCCAGCAGCTTGCGGCGCGCATCGTCTTCAAAGCGCACTGTGAGGAAGTCCCACGTCTCCCTGTCTTCCGGGGCACTGGGGAAAGGGAGAGGGTGAGTGGTGAAAAAGACCTTTAAGTCCAGTCAAAAGGCAGCGGGCAGGGTGGGGTTGGGGATGTGGATGGGGGGGAAGTCGAGGTGTGCCAGCAGCTTGCGGCGCGCGTCGTCTTCAAAGAGGACTGTCAGGAAGTCCCATGTCTCCTTGTCCTCTGGGGCACTGGGAAGGGGGAAAGGGTAACAGGCGGCAGCGTGGGGTTGGGGATGTGGATGGGCGGGAAGTCGAGGTGGGCCAGCAGCTTGCGACGCGCGTCATCACTCAAAGAGCACTGTGAGGAAGTCCCACGTCTCCCTGTCCTCTGGTGCACTGGAGAGAGAGGGAGAGAGCATAGACGGCGGGAGCAGCAGGAGGGAGAGAGCAGCGGGGGTCACTTTTGAGGATTCTAAAAAGTGCCAGCAGTTTGCGATGGGCGTGGTCCTCAAAGAGCACTGTCAGGAAGTCAAGGTGTGCCAGCAGCTTGCGGCGCGCGTCATCTTTGAAGAGCAGTGTGAGGAAGTCCCACGTCTCCCTGTCCTCTGGGGCGCTGGGGTAAGGGGGAAAGAGAGTAGTGGGAGAGAATAATAGGAGTGGGTAGTCGGAGAGGGTAACGCGTAGAGCAGGACTCGTGCTTTGTTGTCTAAGGGGCAGGCACGAAGGAGTGTGTGTGGGGCAAGTCTCGACGCGCTCCACCATGCCAGAGAGCACACAGTGCCACAACAGACCACAGCCCACATCCCACAAATAGAAAGCCCTTGTCCCCATTGCCCCTTTTACCACCCCATCACCACCCCATCACCACCCCATCACGTGTCACTCACGTGGCGAGCTGTGCCTTGTGTTGGCAGAACGCCTTCAGATTCTCCCTGTCGCCGCCTGCAACGGCGGCTTCAAACTCGTCAGTGCGCGCCACCACGCCCTCCTCCGTCACCACGCTGTGCACCGCCACCTGCGCCCCATGCCCCGCCTGCCCCGCCTTGCTTCCAAAGCACAGCAGCCGCCCGCCAAAGCCAAACGTTGCTCCGCAGGGCCGCTTCAGCCACTTGGGCGCGCGGGATGTTGCTGGGGGAGGGGATGGGAGGGATGGGAGGGGTGGGAGGAGGGGGGGAGGTAAGGCGGGGAGAGGGAGTGTCCTCATCGTGAAGCAGAGGCAAAGATGTGGCACATGATGACAGCAGTAAGGTGACTTTTGAGCGGACTCAAAAGTCACCACTTGAAGCAGAGGCAAAGATGTGGCACATTCCGGCTGCATGTCGCTCTGCATGCGATGGGATGGCGTGGTAGGTTATGGCTATGGTATGGCACGGTCAGAAAGAAGGGCGTACGTACCCATGGGCGTTCTGTTGGCCAGCGACGCTCCAAAGTCCGACTCCTTGCTGCTGGCGGACTGGCAGAGGCAGGGCAGAGACACAGCGAACAAGGCGAAGGGTTGAGAACAAAGAGGGCAAAAAAAAAAAAGGGGGGGGGGGGGGGGGGGGGGGGAGAGGAGAGCAACATCTGGGATGAAAGAAAGTTGCAGAGGGAGGGAGGAAAGCAATCAGCAGCAGGCAGGGTGGGAGGGTTGGCAAACACGATGCTTGCTCTGTGTTGTCAAACACGACGCTGCTCACAACAGGGCTAGCTAACACAGAAAAAGCATGGAGAGGAGAGAAGCGATGCCTTGCCTCGATGTTGTAGAATGAGATATGGCCGTCAAAGCAGGAGGCACACTTTGAGTCTTTTCAAAAGTCACAAAAAGGGAAGACAAACGCGGAATAAGCATGACGCACCTCGATGTTGTAGAGCGACACGTGGCCGTCGAAGCAGGAGGCGGAGAGCAGCCCCGGCACCCGTGGCGACCACTGCAGGTCGAAATTCCAATTGGTGCCTGCTGGTAGCTCACACAAGACCTGAACGGGTGGTGGAGGGGGGGACGGGGGAGAGGGGGGGTGGGTTGAGTCAACTCAAAACACATTCGGTGACTCAAAATCCCATTCGAAGCACCCGCCGGATTTGGAAGTTTGAACCGAGAGTGTGTTTGTCTTTGACGCACGAAAGCAGCAGAGCAGAGTCGCTGAAGAGTCAGGGCGACTGTCAGTCACATTTCACCACAACCCATGGGCTGCTCTTACCTCCCCGACAGACGTGTCCCAGCAGAGGGTGCGGTTGTCCTTGGCACATGAGAGCAGCAACCCACTGTCACTGGGACACCACGCCATGGCCAACACTCCTGCGGGGCAGCAGCACGATGGACAGGAGGGAAGAGATGCACATTGTTATGTGATATCCATTGTGTGTGAGGCGCCTCAACAGCAGCAGCCCGCTGTCACTGGGACACCATGCCATGGCCAACACGCCTGTGGGGCAGCACGGGGAGAATAGGGAGGAGAGACAGCACTGTTAGTCAGTAGAACGGACATGGGCAGCAACATTGTTGTGTGATATCCACTGTGCATGAGGTTCATGAGAGCAGCGGTCCGCTGTCACTAGAACACCATGCCATGGCCAACACTCCTGTGGGGCAGTGTGGGTGGACGGGGGGAGAGACTCATTATACGACTCATTTTCCGTACCTCTCGAGACTGATACCTGCTGGCACTAGATACCTCTCGAGTCTACCCAAAAGATCATCCGTCCTGCACCGCACGGAACATGGCACACTGGCTCACCTAACCAACTGTTCTATTCTAGCTAAAACTCTCATGGAAGGGGCAAGACAATAGACTAGAACGAACTGTGGGACATGCAAAGCGCATGGAGTGAGCAGCAAGCAACCAGAATTCGACGAAGCAGCAGCGAGTGAAGGGAGAGGCACCTTTAGTGTGCGAGGTGAGCTCCTTCACAGGCGACATGGCGTTGCGCAGATCCCACACCTGCTCGCAGGGGGGGACAGCAGGGGTAGAGTGGGAGGGAGGAGAGGTAGAAGAAAGGGAGTAGAGGAGGCGGTGGTGAGGAAAGGCAAGGCACCTTTGGTGTGCGAGGTGAGCTCCTTCACTGGCGACACGGCGTTGCACAGATCCCACACCTGCTTACAGGGAAGTGGTGGGGAAAGAGTGGGAAGGGAGGGTGGGTGGAGAAGAAAGAGAGGAGAGGAGGAGAGGGTGGGTGGGTGGGTGGGTGGGTGAGAGGGTAGGAGAGGAGAGGAGAGGAGAGGAGAGGGTGGGTCGGTGGCAAGCAGGATAGATAAGGATTCAAGCAATCAACGGCCACACCCGATAATTGGTAAGTAACAATAGGGGAGGGGGGCAGTGGGTAGTGAGTAGCAGCAGGGGAGAGGGGGCAGGTGAGTAACAACAGGGGAGGGGGGATAGGTGAGTAGCCTCCTGCTCACTGGAACAAGTTTGTTTTTAGTCGTCTCAGAGAGCTACCTACCTGCAGCGAGGGCGAGCGGTCGTCATCAGAGGCAACGATGAGCTGTGTGGCGATCTCGGGGTTCCACTGCAGACACGAGCACCTCCTCCTGCTCACTGGATCCGCGAAACTGCGTGGCGGGTGCCGGGAAGGAATGTGGGCAAGGGGAGAGTGTGGGCGAAGGGAGGGTGTGGGCAGGGGGAGGGTGCGGGCACAGGGCGGAAATGAGGGCGGCAGTGAAGACAGGAGGACGGCAAACAGGATGATGTAGAGGACGGCGCTGAGGAAGGGGGGAAGAGAGGAGGGAGGAGATGGGAAGACGAGATGAAGGGAAGGGGGGGCGAAAGAGAGGGGGGAGAGACCAATGGAGGAAAAGACGAGATAGGAAGGAGAGGGGGGCGCACCTGATGACCTGCTTTTGCTTGCGGAGATCCCACACGACTGCAGGGACGAGAGGTGGCAAGGGGACGGAGGGAGTAGTGGTGGAGGCGAGGAGATGTCACTTAACGACTTTCTCACAAGCAGAAAGGACAAGCATGTGCAGGGCCAATCGAATGCGGTGCGAGAAAGACTAGTGCGGTATCTATTTATGCACATATGGGTGAGTCAGGGGTGGAGGGGAATGAAATTTGTTGGAGAGATAACAGTGGCAGGCAGAGGGCACTAAAGATATCATCCCCCATACCAGCCTGCGAAGGCACCACGCATCACCCCCCAAACCATCCCCCATGGAACTTCTCATAGCTCCCCCCTAACCCCCATAGCACACCCCATAGCGCCCCCATAGCAGCCCCATAGCATTTCCCACAACACCAACAATAGCACCCCGCATACACCCCCACGACAAGCCAGCACGCACTGGAGGGACCGCAATAGGAGGTGGTGGCGACGATGTGCTGCACCTTGCGGTTATCAGCGGTAGGGAGAGGTGAGAGCTACAGATCCCATACCACTCCTACCCAACCTCATCCCGCGCACCAACCCCATAACAAAGCCAGCACGTACCGGAGAGGCCATTGTAGGAGGTGGTGGCGACGATGTGCTGCACCTTGCAGTTCAAAGCGGTGGGAAGAGGTGAGATTTACACTCCCCCACACCACTCCCAACCTCATCCCATACCTTCCACTCCGAACCTCGGCCCCCATACCAACGCCACAGCCAGCACGCACCGGAGAGGCCGCTGTAGGAGGTGGTGGCGACGATGTGCTGCACCTTGCGGTTCCACGCCAGGCACGATATCTCCCCCTGCGGCCCTCCCCCCGCTCCCTGCTCCAATCACGCCCCCGCCCACGCACGCAGCACAGCAGCACAGCAGGGAGGGCATACAACGCATGAAAATCCCATTCCTGTGTGGTGGCTACAACGGAGCAATGTCATCCTGACGAGCGAAAGCCAACAACGGTTCAATCCCAGAGCACATGCACATGGCTGGTAACTGCTGACCTTGGCTCACGCTTTGCGCTTCCTTGAGTGACGGGTGGAGCAATCCAGACTAGTTTGAGCAAGAGGTATATAGAGTGAGCGGAGGGTAGTAAGCAGGGCACATACGCACCTTGAGCGAGGGGTAGAGAGAGGGCGCAGCGGGTTTGGCGAGGTCCCAGATGCAGAGCTCTCCGTCCTCTTAACAAGGGGTATACAGAGAGCGAGAAGTAAGTGCGGCACACACGCGCCTCAAGGCACCCACGCACCTTGAGCGAAGGGTGTGAGAAGCACACACGCACCTTGAGCGAGGGGTAGAGAGAGGGCGCGGCGGGGTTGGCGAGGTCCCAGATGCAGAGCTCTCCGTCCTCCGCGCCTGACGCCAGCAGGTTGGCCGCCGCTGGGTTGAACTCCAACCCGCGCACCTGCCATGCCATGCCCAGCCATGCCAAGTCGTGCCATGCCAAATTGTCAGCGCAGGAATGTGAGCGGTGATACGGGAACATTGAGAGCTTGCATTAGGTAGAGTTCGCGGTCCTCCGCGCCTGAAGCCAGCAGGTTGGCCGCTGCTGGGTTGAACTCCAACCCGCGCACCTGCTATGCCAAAAGAAACCGCGCCAAGCCGCGCCAAGCCGTGCCAAGCGGCGCCAAGCCGCGCCAAGCCGCGCCACGTGACGCCATGCCAAGACGGTACAGGAGTGCGGTTGATAGGGTAAAATGAGCTCTCTGAAATTCACTGAGAGCGCATGCGATGGGAAGGAACGAGATGACGTGATGGTTAAAATGATCGGGAGTGCGGTCACAGCACGGCTATGGGGTGGTGCGGTATAGATTGCTCACGCATGTAACGCTGTTCCCTTTTCAAAGGGCGAACGCCGGAACCTGCGTGTGTCGTGCGACTTCACATTACCCCCCTTTTGCGCTCACTGATCAATCTCATTCGCAATAGTCACTCACCGCGCCCTTGTGTTTGGACATCTTGGCGACGAGAGCTCCCTCTCCGTCGCCCGTCTTGCCGCTGCCACTCCAGCAACCACAGGCATCGAGCAACACGGACACACAAGAGCATGTCAGCAGAAAGATATTGATCCGATTACTAACCCAGCATTAATACGAAACGTTTTGAGCTGAACAGCGCCTCAAACTTCGCGCGAAACGCCGGAATTTGCGTGCGCGCGCCACACTTCAAACTTCTCGCAGCATCCGACCTAACGATGCGACGACGCAAGCCCGACGCATTTCATTCGACTTAAAAAAAACTAGCTAATTTCGCGCGGCGCCACGATGTGAGGTACCATGCATCGCATGCGCTGCGTCCTGCATGCTAATGCCCGCACGCGGCATACCTAATGATGCGCGCGGGGTTCCAGAGAGCGACGGTGCCATCGACCAGTCCGCCCGCGATGATGCCATGGCTGAACGCCTCCGACTGATCCACGCCGCACGATCCCCACGACAGCCGATTGAACCGATCGCTCGCCGTCGCCGCCCCCAGCGACGGCAGATCCGACCGCCCGCCCGCCGCCCCCGCGCCTCCCGCGACTCCGCCAGCCGCCTTGCCTCCGGATTGGTCAGGGCTGCCAAGTCCGCCGAAAAAATCGTCCGGTGACACGTCTGCGGCGTTCCCAAAAGTCCCGGCCGGGCTGACCCCACCGCCGGAGGAGGCGGCAGACGCGGCGGGATTGTCGGCGGATGCGGTGGTGGATGCGAACTCGAGGCGGAAGATTTCAAGGCAGGCGGAGGAGGAGAAGGAGAGATCGATGGCCCCCGCCATAGTCCCCATCGCTATAAGCGGCTCCGTTGGCGCGAAGGCCACGGTGGCCGATCGATGCACCTCGCACAACGCCATCTTGTCGTCTTAATGCGATCGGCTCTTCCGGAGGTCTGACGATAATTGGTCAGGTTTCTGACTGACCAGAGGGGATGGCAAGATAGCGAATTTCTCTGAATTTCAACAACACGATGTCGGATCTCGTCCGATCAAAAGCACAGACTAACGAGCAGACGAAGCCGGCTAACAGCGCTGCGATCCCGCACGCTTCGAGTGCGTGCGCGACGGAGTGCTGCTGTTAACTAACTAGTAGCCTGAACCAACTACCTCCCTGGGTAGCTAATCAGAGATTCCCTGTGTTACTAGCGAGCCAGATCCCTACATTTGACCATCCGTCGCTGCTGATTGGTGAATCGCTGCAACATTTGTTGCTGCGGGGATGGTGAGATTTGCGTTGGGGAGAAGGGAAGACCCAAGTGGAAGGACTCCTGGTGCTGCTGATACAGTGCAATAGGCAAAGCACTACACTTGATTATTCCTTAGATTTGAGGAAATTTTATATTTGAATGGAACATATAATTCGATGTTTGTTTAAAAATATATAGTCATTTATCATCTCGATTTATTTCCAGGCATTTGGCACTAGTTCCTGGTGTCGCGCCCTCATGGGGCAAGCACGATATTCACCACCTGTTCTACGTTGTTTTACTTTTGGGAGCTTGTGTTCCAGGTTTCACCGTATAGAACCACTCGCACAACATTTACACCGTTTTCGACGCACCGATGTTTTCTAACCCTCTGCCTGTGGGGTTTGCGCCTACAAAGCTCTTTGCTCCCCATAGTTGTTTCCCAATTCCTCCTCTATGCTCCCATTTTGTCTCAAGCTCGCCTTTCTCGCCCTTCATATATCTGGCGATTAGACCCCCCGGTTTTGCGCACACAGGCCGTCTTTGTTCCAGGCTTTTCTTTTCGTGACTGCCAGTTTTTTCCTGCTTGCTTCTTTCGTACTGTGTTGCTCTTAGCGTCCTCTGGGATGGCTGACTGGAGGTATGACGCGGGCGATCGGTACGGCGATAGATACGCCGCCGATCGCGGACGGGGCGCTGGGACACCGCCAAACAGTGTTAAACGCCGACGAGACTACGGTCAGTTTCTACTGATGCACTTCTGTTCGTTCCTTTCATAGTACGGCTGATTTGGCAGGGGCATGCATATTTTAAATTTGTTGCTACTTTTTCCGCGTCGCGTTGCATTTGTGCGCTCTTCTTATCCAGAGTACGACGCGCCGCCCCCTGGCTCTGCAATGTACGGCGGGATCGGCGGTCCGCCAAGGGGGTCGGGAGCTCCGGGCTACGGCGCGCCTGGCGGATGGCGGGACGCCGACCCTGCGGGGCTCAGACGAGGCGATCTGGTGCGTCGCTCTACTTTCTCCTCTCCGTTCTGAAGCGGATCAGATGTGTCGCGGATGCGTCTCGTTGTCCGCCAATCTCGTTTCGCCAGGTCCTGAATTGTTGTAGTTGAAAAAACCGTTGATTTTTTATTTTTATTGTGTTGTACTTTATTATATTTTAATTTATTTTATTTTCACCCTTTTTCTTCTCCGTTCCTGTCCGCAGAGCTCCTTGGCACCACCAGGCCTGGCGCCACCTGGCACGCTCGGATTGGGCGGCATGCCGGACGACCATCTCGGCCCGCCTCCGCCCGGGTCGGGCATGCGCAGCCTCGGCGGAATGGACCTGGCGGGTCCGCCCATGCCGCGCGGGCCGGGGGGTCCGCCCATGCCCATGCCTGGGGGGATGGGCGCGCCAGGGGTGGGGCCGGGGGGGATGCCGCCAATGGACATGCATCCGGGGGACATGCCCATTCCGCACGACGCCTCCCCCACGCTCTACATCGACAACCTTCCGCCCGACTGCTCGCGCCGCGAGGCCTGCCGTACGTTGCCGTTGCCCGTGCCTTCCGCTCCCGCTTGTCCTTCAATCACCAACCCCTTTGTTTCCGTTTTCTTCTTCTCCCCCCCCTGCCCTGTCCGTTCCCCTCCCGCGCAGACATATTCCGGCCGTTCATCGGCTTTAAGGAGGTGCGCCTCGTGCCCAAGGAAGTGCGCCGGGTACGTTGCATGCCCCCGCTGCTGCCCCTCGCTTCCTTGAACCTTCAAACCAAACCAGTTACCCGATTCTGTTTTTTATCTTCTCCTTATCATACATACAAGACGGTTAACTTGCGTTATGTCGTTGGCTCCCGCTGCCAAGCCATGGACCTAACTGCTGCGTCATGCGTGCGTGCTGCGTGCTGCGTGCTGCGTCATGCTTGCGTGCAGGGCGGCGAGCCGGAGAAGCTCATCCTCTGCTTCGTCGACTTCGCCGACGCGCGCTGCGCCGCCACGGCGCTAGAGGCCCTGCAAGGTAGGGCGGTGTGGGCTGCTGGCGACACGGTAAGGCTCTTCTTGAGATGGCAAGGGCAAAACTTTTGTGAGGAGCTGCAGGCAAAGCAGTAACGATATAGCTTAGCAGTATCGCTCAGCATTCGAGGCGCGTGAGAGGCGCAGGCAGATAGCTGTCTGCGAAGTTATGAAGAATAGCGACAGTTCTGAATCGAGTCGGATCAGGTAGATCGCGACAGGAGAGGCGAGTCGTCGGTGCGAAGTGGTGGTCTTTCGAGGATTGAAGCTCTTGGACGATTTGTTGGTTCACCGTCGTTTCGATCTCCCTCGACGAATAGCTGGTTACGATGCAGCACGTTTCCACCAGGTCTCGTCGAATGATAGGTAATCTGGTCCTACTTCCGCGCACCTCGTTATAGTCTTCCTCGATACATCGTACTGTCGATTTTTCCTACAGATCTAACAAGCGCTTCCATCCAACAGATCCCGACCCGACACCTGCTGCTGCTGTTGCCGCCGATGCGTTGCGCGCGTGCGTTCGTGCCACTTGTCTTTCCGGCGACTTGTGCAGGCTATTGTTTTCACGAAATCGGTTACCACTTACATGTTCGATCGATCCTTCGAATCTAGCCCCTCTTCCCTGGCGATCCGTGCACGCTCCCCCCGGCCTCGTAAACTCTGCAGGGTACCGCTTCGACGAGAACGATTACACGTCGCCGAACCTGCGAATCGATTTCGCCCGCCAGGGCCCGCGCAGCCACCCGCGCGACGACTTCCGCCGAGACGACCGCGACTTTGGCCGCGGCGGCGGCGCCGGAGGCCCCCCCTTCCGCCCCCGCCGCTAAGTTTTAGTGCTTTCGGGAGCTGTTACGTCGCGGTTTCGTAGTGCGTTTCGACGTGGCGCTCCCCGATTCGAGCGACTGACACCTGATCGCTTATGGTTCGTCCCACGTGTGGCGGCCCGGTAGCAATTTTGGGCGTGGATTGCCGTTTTGCAGCCGCCGGTGACTTGTAGCAGTCGTGGATGGTGTAGCGGTGGTAGCGATACCGCGATTTTGGCAGGAGTCCCTGTTTCGCAGATGTCAGCTCGTAGCGATTGTGTGTGCGCCTGCTGATTATTTCGCCGTTCGGCTACTGGCTGTCCTGTAGCGACTTTCAAATCGATTTCTAACTAGGCGATCCGATTTGCCCAAAACACCTCCCTTCCCCCCGCTCCGTCCCTCTCCCCTTAACTCCCCTTCCTCTGGAATTCTACCCTTTCGAGAACATGCACGTCGCACCTCGCTTCTCCAAGCGCCCTGCGTTTGATAATCAAACCAGGGGCTGTGTTGGCTTGGCATAACGCCTCGCACCATGTAGCACTGTTGGGCACCTCGTATCACAATGTACGGCACCATAGGGGCGTTAAAACGAAGCGCTCGTCTCACAGGAATTGCCTTGTTACCTCGATAATGCCGATGACCCACCCTCAAATCCTGATGTTGATTAAGCTCGCCTGATCTGCTAGCAATCGTACCGTAGTAGAACTGGATTTCGCTATCACTCACCAGCCTGGTCTGGTACGGCATTCCAGACTGGGAGTGCCCAGCTTCAATAACCTGGAGTCCTCTTGACACACACCAGTACCTGCGTTGTCATTTTTCAGTTGAATGAAGGCTGCCTGGCTTGTGGGTTGGCTTGGGCTTCCCAGGTTGGGGTGGAGATGGGTTGTGCATGATTGGGTGTGGCATGGCATGGATGCATTGTTGGGGGCGTTAGGGGCACCGTAACACCAATGAAAGTACGGTATGCTGCATTGTTCTGGTTGAGGGATCTACAAATGCATGCCATGTTGGACGCATTGGGTTCTTGCTTAGGTGGCCTTGCAAATTTCCTGATGCTGCTCCAGTCTCCATGTTACCTGACGCTATGCCTGGTTACAGTGCCCTAGCCTTCTCACAACCATGCTCCTGCAATAATGCTTTTACCGTAGCTGGGCTTTGTTCAGGCTGGGTTCTGTAGTTTCCGCCCAAACTCAACTGTGCATGGCTGGTGCTGAATACACCCCTGTACCCTTATGCGGGCAAAGCCTATCTCTGTTCACCAAAACCATGCACGACCACTGCCAAATTTCTGATTCAAGGCGTTCTAGTTGGTCTAGTACAGTAGTGATTTGCTGATAAGAAACATTTTCCATTGTCACAGAAATCACATAGAAAACCTAAAATGTGCTCACGAGGCTCTGAGGCAGGAATGCTGGCAAGAGCAGGCGATTGCCTCTTGCCAGCATTCCTGCCCCCATGCCCAGCACCACACACATGCACGCTACACATCACACTACTCGCTTCAGCAGCACCTCCCACTCACTAACAACTTCAGCTCCACCACTGGAGCACTTGCTCAAATGCCTTCATATGACTTCAGGGCAGTGGCTATCACAGCAGCACCCATTCACTGCTACCACTCCAACCAACCCAGCAACATACTAAGCTGCAGCAGCAGCTGCAGCAGAGGGGATTTCACTGCTTTCACATTATGCTGCAGCAGCAGCAGAGGGGATTTCACTGCTTTCACATTATGCTGCAGCAGCAGCAGAGGGGATTTCACTGCTTTCACATTATGCTGCAGCAGCAGCGGAGGGGATTTTGACGCCCATGAGCTGCCCGCCCCAGATGACACCTGACGCGCTGTTCCCAGCCAGCACAGCGTATCCGCT